ATATTTTAACTACTAATTTAAATTTTATTATTTTCAATTAAAAAAATTATTTTTTTAATTTTTTTTAATTTGCCGGTATTTTGGACCAGTATTTTACGATTTTTACCGTATGATCCAGGTACTGTAAATCTAGTATTTTGAGTGAAATTGTACCGTACCAATGGCTGATATCCGGTATTACCGGTATTACCGGCCTGTACGGTACAATATTTAAAATATTGTGCTGTAAAAAGAAGCATCATTAGGTCACAAGTACAAAGAAGCCAGTCGTGGCGAATGATCTAAAGCCTTCAACGATGAAACCAAGGTCTGATCCAAAAGAGACCTCGGGAGAGAGAATTTCACACCTGAGGATGGAAACCTTAAGCAAAATCTAGAAGAGATAAATGAAAGGCTCGGCTGAAAGCCGGCGTCGGATATTTTCTCGTCGACCGAGTCCCTATTTGTTAGTAGCATCATGAAAGAAGAAATCCCCTTTAACTTCATGATGCCTCAGATGGAGAATTACGATGGAACCTCGGACCTCCGTGACCATCTTGAGAATTTTCAAGCCCTCGTGATGCTTCAGAGGGAGACTGACGTCATCAAATGCCGAGCGTTCTCAGCCACACTAAGAAAGAGTGCCAGGGTTTGGTTTTCTTCACTGTCAGTGGCCTCTATCTATTCTTTCAAACAGTTGGCACAAGAATTCCTCAACCACTTTGTTAGTAGCAAGCGGTACAAGAAAGCGTCAGCCCACCTTATAGGCATTTGTCAGAGGTCGAATGAGACGCTAAGGGAGTTTATCCAATGTTTCAATGGAGATGCACTAGAGATTGAGGACTTGGACCAGTCTGTGGCCTTGGCCGCACTTATGAATGGGGTTCAAAAGTGTTTAAGGTTTGCTTTCTCTTTGGCAAAAAACCACCGCTATCCCTGCCTGCACTCTTCAATAAGGCTGAAAAATACATCAACGTTGAGGAGATGTCCAGAGTTTAGGGGGAAGACGAGCGAGAGACCTCTGACAGAAAGAGGATAAGGGATCCGGGTGAAGATAATGTTAGAAAGAGAAAAAAGTGTGGGATAGGTTGTCTATCACCACTAGCTCATCGAAGGATCGGTCTAATCTCTCGAGGTTCGAGAGGTATACTCCTCTACGTGCTACAAAGAACGAAATCTTGATGTACATTCAAGATAAGGACTATGTCAGATGGCCGACAAAGATGAGAACCTCGGCAAACAAAAGAAGTCGGGATACGTATTGTCGTTTTCACGGAGACCACGGTCACGATACCGAGGACTGTAAGACCCTGAAAAACAAGATTGAAGACTTGATACGCAAGGGATACCTCAAAAAATTTGTGGAAAAAAACAGAAGCAGCCCTCAACCTCGGCCAAGACACTCGAAAGATCGAAGTCGCAGTCCTAAGAGAGGTAACCCTAGGGATAGCCATTTGAGCTCGAAGGTCTGTAGCCTTTTTATGGGAGTAGTACTTCTCCATAAACTTCTCATACACATAAGTGAGTTTGGGAGAAGGGTCATGAACCATGTCTTTGCTCGGTCCTTCAAGGTGTACGGGAAACACCGCATCTGAAGTTGATTTTCATTAAGACCTTGAAGAGGAAATGGGTTTACCGTCGCGTAAAACTCTCGGATGAAGTTTAGGACGTTCTCTTGCGATAAGCCGTAGAAGAAGGGCAATTGGTTGAGATGTATAGTCTTCAAATCATAATTTCGGGCCGCCTTCTCCGAGCACAAGGCATGAGGTATTATCTCCGATTATTGGTCGAGCTAAACACCTCATGTTCGGAGGGTGGTGGCAATTGTTCTCCATGATCCGCCATTGCTTCCAGTTCGGGTTGCTCTTCGTCTATATTGAGCTCAACGAATAAATCGATCGTGTGTCTCCTCTAGGGTACCACGTCATCGTCTACCTTGCATACACATAAAAACAAACAACTATACCTGCAAAGGCACCAATGGGAAATAAGAGACCATTCACAAAGATCAAACACAAAAACTAACTAACAAAGCAGGGGGAAACAAGATAAACACGGAAATTAATCAATACCACATAAAGTAAGAGAAACACATAAGCAAAGGACAACTAAATAGCAAACTAGGCGTCTTACTTGCCTTCACCGGCAATGGCGCCATTTGTTTGATTGTTTTAAGTGGAATAAGTTGGTAACCGAGTTATCCAAAGTCGGGTCGTCTCTCAAGGAAGACGATTCGGAGCTTCGCTCACTAAGTAGTTGTCCAAGATCACAAAAAGAGCAAATAAAGGCCTAAACATTCTAATCAAATGAGTTTGGGTGTTTTTAAACTAATTCAACTAAGGCAATAGACAAGCAATTAGCTAAAGATGCAAATTTAACTAAAGACCCTAGCTTTACTAAACTAGAGTGCTTAAAATCGAATAAAAATGCGAAAACAAGAGAAACAAACTACAGCTAATGCACCCAAAAGCTAAATTCAAAAGATTTATTACGAAATTATTGAGCTCTATGACAAAGTCTCGACTTTTCTTGTAAAGGTTCAAACTTTAAACTACCCAAACACAATAGACGAGCTTACAAAAGATAAGATAACAAAATAAACTAACGAGCAAAGTACGTAAAAAAAATGAACGAGACCTAAGTTACTTCTACAACCGATTAAGTAAAGTAGTGCAAAAATCGAGATAACAAGCCTTTTAATCTAAGTAATTACGTCCCTAATGCATAAGCGAATGAAGTAGACGAAAAAAGGTTTAAACTTGCATAATAAAAGACTAGCCATAAAGTTCATCGGAAAATATGAGTTTAAGCCTCCAAATATAAGCTAGAGAGAAAAAGGAAAATAAAAGACAATATTCAAAAGAGAAAAAGTAAAAAATGAATGCTGGGTGCACTTACCCAAATAGAGCAATAGTATTTATACTAAGTAGCAAAACACGCAATAAACACATACATAAAAAATTTGCACGCGCCTAATCTAGGCCTAAGCGGATTTTTTCACCCGACAAAATGACGTAATGGCCGCATGCGTATCGTGGGCGAGTGTGCGTGGATGCCCGTCAAAATAGAGTGTTGGTCGCCATCGTGCCCTGGGCGAGTGTCATGGACGCCTGGCGAAACAGAGTGTTGGCCTGCGTGCCCTGGGCGAGTGTCATGGCCGCGTGGCGAAACCTGGGCGAGTACTATGGCTGCACACAGGAGAGTGCAAGGTCACCCGACGTAACGTTCGTGGCATAACACGCGGGGTACGAGCATGCGGCGTATCCCGGGCAGGCACACGATACACATGCTCGGTCATTAGTCAACCTTGGCAACGTCACACGATCCTCGACAATCACTCAAACAAGTCGGACAATGGTAAAAATTTCTCGGGTCTCTTTCATTGTTCTCGGAATCCATGGGGACTTGTTCTAAAATGCCAAAAAATAAACGAAGATGATGTACTCGGTTTTCAACTCGCATGCTCGGGATTCGGCTCGGGTCCTCCTCTTTCAAGCTCGAACAAACGGACTTGCAGTGCACCGGAAGACACGGGAAGGTACGCCAAAAACACAAAAACACCACACAAAAGTAAAAACACTCGAAACCAACTAAAATTGACCGGCTAAACAAAAAAACGAACCTAACAACGACTCAACTAAGCACATAAAACACATAAAAATAAGCACAAAAACACAACAAATATTTATATGAATCTCTTACTAAAGATGATTATAAGTCTCCCTACGTATTTTTTTATTACATTTCTACAAGCTGTTAGTACGCATTTGAACCTTGTTCTTGAAACCCATTTTCAGCTACATACACAATTTTAATATATGACTTTTATTTGTACTTCTCTTATTAGATTTACATATTTAGTATGATAATGTATTGGATAAAACTATGCAATGAAGATGTTGTATGAAGTTTATGTTATTACAAGTGTTGGATTGTGGAGTAAGGTAGAATATAATGTGGCTTAGCCAATTGAATTACACTCACTTGGAAAATTTGTAGAAAAACTTACTTTTCTCTAAGAGTTAATCCCCTTCACTCTCAAATAGATGAATTAGACATTTGAGGAACTTATTCGGATATAAATTGTTATATAAATTTGAATAAATCATGACTAAATCATTCTGCTATAGTGCATAAATACAAATTCATATAATAATATAGTGTGGCTTGACCATTTAGTTTCAGTAAATATGTGTCGGGCTTGGATAAAGAATGGGATTGATGCTTGATATTGAATTAATAAATATTTTGCTATGTAAAATGCTTGTTTAAAGTTGAGGACATAATTAATAACTTCTCAATTGGTATGGTTCCACTCCAAACATGAGACATGATTGTAACATTGAAGTTTACTTTCGTTGTCTAATTTGCTGCAATCTATTCAATCTTGTAACAAAGTGGTAGTAAAGTCAAAATTTATGAATTATATGTCTTGTAATTTTGAATTTCTTTACCTATTACCTATATATCATATTTGTTACATTACCTGAGCAATGTAGGTAATTCTTAATCAGCTAACGAGGTCTAATGTTTCCTACTCTTTTATGTGGCGCTCATATTCATATATATGTCAAATTTAGTAAGTTATGAGCTAGTAATAGCTCGAGACTGTCGATGCAGATAATTAGTTTCATATTATCAATGTGCTGATGAGTTATTTTTTCAAGGAAATCAAAGTTTAATGCATAGTGAATGTGGTCCCTGTCATGAATTTTAAGAAATTGTATAGTTATCTGCTAGACTATCAACTTAGTAGATGAAGGTTTCATACAATTTTTATGTAATAATTTGTATTAATGTAGATACTACCTATTAGTTATTGTAAATAGCTTGTTGCTAGTGCATTGTTTGTTAAATAACGAACACATCAGTATAAGTATTTGGTACATGATTTATTTATTACAACAAGTATTGGTATTCACAATGTTAGACTATATATTGTATATTGAAATTGCATCTTGCTGCAAGTTGAAGTCTGTAAATTATTATTCCACTACATTGGTTACAGATGAAAATTATGCTCTTTAGACTTGAACTTATTATTTTTATTTTCTTGCAAATGAGAAATGTAATATTTACGTCAACCTTTTTCCTCAATTTTCACAGCCAACAATCATCGTATAAATCAAGTTCAAGTAGACACCAGTATTACAATCATTAATTGTTGTAACATTTAGCAAGAACAAACCTTTTCGCATATCACGTTTCCTTCTCTTGGAACTTATTAACATCTTTACACAATTTCAATTGTATAGATAAAAGTATAAAATATCTCAAGATGTTTTCATCAAACGAAAGTCTGACGTCCGAGATGGTGTATGCACATTCATCTTGTCACTGTACCATGGCATTTTTCGGTCAATCGAGGCCTGGTTTCTTGAATCCTGGGCTAAGTTGATAAATATGTGGTAAATTTTTTCTAGGGCTTCCAATGCTAGTGCAGTAGAAGCCTGTTGCAAAAAATTATTATCATGACTTTGAAGAATGATTTGGTAAAGAAAAAATAAAAAATAAAAATGGCAAGACATATACAACTATGAATGTAAAGTTGGAATTACCCTAGCTCCACCACTTCTGGTGCTTCATTTTTCTGATGTTGTGGTTGACTAAGCTCGAGGTTTATGGGTGCATTCAGATTACGTTCATTGTTGATGGTACTTGTAACATGGCCGTAAACCTGCACCAAAGGTTTGCCAAGTTTAGATCGGAAGTATTGTGCATTATTGGCGAACATTCTACAATTGCGGCATACTTTGCATTGTTTATATCATAATTTGTAATACCTTTTTCTGTAACTTTGCATTCTCCTCAAGGAGAAGGTTGATCTTTTTGTGCAGCTCTATGTTTTCTCGTTGAATCATATTTCCCTGTGTCAATATCGACGAACATTTTTTATATTTAAACTAGATCATTATTGCACAATTAAAAGATCAGAACTGTTATGGGCAAGACCTTTAACTTTAGATCTTTAATTTCTTCAGTCATAATTTGTTCCTGCATAATATATGTGCATTCAAACCTCAAATATACTGAAAAGAGTGGAATATGTAGAAAAAACTGCAAATGATAAATATTAATTAAATCATATGTGCTCACCTTTTTCACCCTCACGCCTTTCAAACTCATTTCCAATTGATTTTCAAGATTTTGGAGGTCATTAGTACTCAATCCAGAAAGCTCTTCTCCCAAAAGCTGCCTA